TCCCTCTTTCTAGCTAGTAATTGTTTTTCATTAGCTCTACAATTCGGGCTTGGAATGATGTTGGCTTGTAAACACTGACGATGGATCCGTCTGTCTCAAATTCGTCCTTCCGACTGTCAAGCTGGGGTTGCTGTCTTGTCCAGCTGTATTTTAAGTACGGAGTTTCCTTTTTAGCTGAACATTTGCTTGGAGAACATCATGCACCCCTAGGAACACATAACAAGGATTGCAATGAAATCAAACTGTTCCTCAAACTGATACACATATTCCAGGGCTGCCATTTTATTCACTTCCTGAGTTTGCTACTACATGTACTTGGTTAATTTTCATTAAAAACGATATGGTACACACGTCTTCTTCATCTACGTTACAAGAAATTAATTTCAATATTTTAGTTCAGAAAAGAAGTTTTGTCGGGTTTTCTCAATTAGGTTCCAATTCTTACTCCTTGCCAAGATTGGTAAATGAGACTGAAAGGCTCTCGTGCAAAAAACATCACACTGCAAGATGCGTTCTTGTCGGCTCAGGATCCGTACGTATATGTTCATATTACAGCACCGGTACCAAGCGTGTAAAACCGAAAACTGTGGCAACTCACGGACTTGTTTTCCTGTTGTTTTTTTTTTTTTTTTTTTTTTTTGTTTTGNGGGGGGGGGCGTGAAAAAAGGAAAAAGGAAACAGAATCAGAGCAATAGGCCTATGTGCTAAACTTTTTTTTTTTATAAAATCCGAATCTTATCAGGCTATAATAATACATGTTCGGAAGGATTACACGTAAGTTTAATCATGATTCTATAGTGTTTAAGGCAGCCGTCATGAATTATACGTGTTTGTTTCTAACATTTATAATGCCCGTAAATAATGGTAGCTTATGGTTTAATTCACACATATAGAAATACCTTTTTCCATTGAATTCTACAATGTTCAAATAAGCGCTAATTTATGTATATATTCGCGGAATAATATTTCTTTACATTCTAATCAAATTTATTAGTTATTCTGTTCTATAATTCTAAAAGTTCGAATTCCATACACATCATTTTACTTCTCTTGCATGATGAGCTAGGACCTATAACTTATCTCCTTCCCAGCTGATTAAAGTGTTCAAAGATCTTAAATGTCTGAATCTAAAGAGCAAACCATAGTTAATTCGGCACCTATGGATATGATTAGAGTTAAACTATCGTCTTTTTTCTCTATTTTTAGGTTTGTAACAACTTGGGGGAGTGCAGCTGTGAAGTAGGATATATGGGAGAAAGTTGTACAGAGCAGTGGAAGGACACACCGTGCGGCTCCAGCACAACCACTGCTACAACTACCGCAGGCCAGTTTGGATACAGTAAGCTATTTGCTACGTTCACTTCAGTGGGAAATATGACTTATCTATACCCGTGTCTGTCTGCCTGTCTGTCTTAAATGAAATGGTATCCTTGCCTGATTATTGTTTTACAAATCGTCCACCGGTAGGACTCGAGCCTATGTAATCAAAGGAAATGTATTAGTACCTACTATGTAATCAAAGGAAAAACATTGAGCACATATTCCTCTGATTTCTAGAAACAAAAACAAGTCACAACAGCAAATTAAATTTCTCGACATTTTACCAAATCTGGGGGGCGGGGGGAGTTGGAGGGGCGTAGATTGGGTGAAGAGCGTATTGAACACAAGATGCGTGCAATTACCATAGCAGCACATATGCATATTAGTCACCAAATGTTCTGTATACAAGTTTCTTTTAACTTTTTTTTTCTTTCAGATTCTTCCGTGGGTTTGTCGGGCAAGCCTGTGTTGTTTGTCTTAATTTCTGCTATTGTAACATGGGCATACAAACAGGGCTGAACATGAGGACAGTTGAAATATAACTTCTGTTGTATCAACATATTGACTATCTGCCTTTTGCACAGATTATTTTTATTTATTTATTTATTTATTTATTTATTATTTATTTATTTATTTATTTATTTATTATTTATTTATTTATTTATTTATTTTGCACAGATGCTTTTTACACAGACGCTTTTTCAAGTCGGGGCAATTCTGCACTTTGCACTGATGATTTTTATACATTTCAAGTACATCTTGCTCAGTGTTTGGATTCCCGTGGAAATGGAGCCCTGGGTTGGTTAAGTTTTGGGAATGTCTGTAGTAACATAGTACAAAATAAAAAATTGGTGGTGATTATCCTATAAAGTATTATGTAATATTGGATTAAAATTAAATAAAAACACATAGTTTGTTAACATGCTTCTATTAGTATTGAGAGCGTTGTTGTAAATGTTATAAAAGACAACCGACACGAAAAGCCCCTATTTTTCTGAAATAAGCTGCTGACCTGAAATCAGAAAAATTGAACCCAAGGAACCATTGGTTATTTCAAGTTATAATACTACGTTTTCGTTTTAGCGATGTCAAATTTTTCTTTTATCTAAAATGGCAGAATTTATCAAGCCGTTTCTTATAAAACAATGCGCAACGACACTTTTCCAGAAGTTTTTCACAATTAATATATAAGAATTATGCATTATTTCATTAAAACTGGTTTTTCTTCATCCACGAATATTTTTTTTTTTTTTTTTTTTTTTTTTGACATTTTTGACATTTTTCTGACATTACCCCCCTCCCTCTTTCTTGCTAGTAATTGTTTCTCATTAGCTCTACAATCCGGGCCTGGTATGATGTTGGCTTGTTAACACTGACGATGGATCCGTCTGACTCAAATTCGTCCTTCCGACTGTCAAGCCGGGGTTGCTGTCTTGTCCAGCTGTATTTTAAGTACAGAGTTTCCTTTTTAGCTGAACATTTGCTTGGAGAACATCATGCACCTCTAGGAACACATAACAAGCATTGCAGTGAAATCAAACTGTTCCTCAAACTGATACTCATATTCCAGGGCTGCCATTTTATTCACTTCCAGAGTTTGCTACTACATGCACTTGGTTAATTTTCATTAAAAACGATATGGTATACACGTCTTCTTCATCTACGTAACAAGAAATTAATATCAATATTTTAGTACAGAAAAGTGGTTTTGTCGGGTTTTCTCCATTAGGATCCAATTCTTACTCCTTGCTAAGATTGGTAAATGAAATGCTCTCGTGCAAAAAGCATCATACTGCAAGAGCCGTTCTTGCCGGCTCAGGATCCGTACGTCTATGTGCACCGTTTTACCAGCGGTAAGTATCAAGTACCAACATGTAAAACCGAAAACTGGGGCAACTCATGGACTTGTTTTCTGTTGTTTTTTTTTTTTTTTGTTTTTTTTACGAACTTGACTTTCAATCAATTTACAACATAAGACAATAGCTTGAAAAAGGTATTTATATTTACATGTAATCAATTCACTATTATACATCTTTTATGCACATTTGAAATATAAAAAATGTGACGTTATATGAAGGAAACTACTTCACATTACATATTTAAAATCAGAAATGTGTTCAATTTTTTAACAAAAATAGAAAATGCACATTAAAATTGCTTTGACACATTACATTTAAGTATTTATTTCAAATGCTGTTCTAATAGCAGTATGCTGAGCACGACGATCAATATCAAGAAGTCATTCTTGTGTATAAAATATGTCATAAACTGTCCTATTTGAAACTGCCCTCTCATTTTAACATTGTAAACCAAATGGACGTGATCCGACTTCCTTATGACAGTTCCTCATCTGTGTTTACAATGTAAAAGCCTACTGACGCATGAACTAGGCTTATTTACACAATTCTCAGGCAACTGGTAAAATTTAACACACACACTATTTCAAAACTGTAAACAATTAACATTTCTCTAACAATAACACATTTCTCTAACAATAACCTACACAATACACTATAAAGACAATAACATATCATTTCCATGATATTAAGAATTTTTTTGGCCAAATTTATTGCTTCAGTGTACAAGAACCAAGAGGTAGCACATATGAATCATTAACTGTATAAGTCAATCTTTAATTGAAATTTTAGATCTAAAAATGTCTCAGTAGAAAATCTTAAACCTTCATCCAAAATTACATATTTTTAGGTGTGCAAATTAAGTATCTGCCACAGTTTCTCAGCTGATTTCTTTACAATATATTATGTACATTGACATATAAACAGAGTATCATGACTGAATAGCATCAATACAATCATCATCTTCCATGTCTAAGTCTTCAGGGGTGGCCTTGGGGTCAATGTCCTCCCCATCAAACTGAAACTTTAAACTGGTCCACTCTAGCTCCATTTTTGAAGCATATTCCCTCATTAAATTTTCTAATGGATTTGTCTGAAGGAAAAAGATGAGATAAGTAAGGACTCTTTGGAGTTTTTTTATATATTTGTATACCTTTATAAACAATATTGGTACATTCATTTCAAAATAACAAATACAAAAGGTTAAGCTTGGCGGATCCTAAGATAATTTCTGACAGTCTTCCAAATTATCTTTGTTGATCCATCCTTCATTCTTGACCGTCTTCTGACAGAAAAAAATAGATACTCGTCACTGTAAACTTGAAAATCTGACCGTCTTCCGAAAGACCCAGAAGACGGCCTCAATCCGCCCCCAATATAGCATACTGATCACTATAAACATTGTCCTTTATCAGAGTGACAAAATATTTTACACCACAAGAAGTTCAATATAACTAATTTATGTACCTTTCTGATTGTGATGACAAGAACTGAGTGTCTATCCTTTCCCTGCACTTTGACTTTAATACAAGACCCATCCAGTACCTCTTCACTGACACTCTCCTCCAGCTGACCAGATTGTCTCACATGGAAATCTGAAAATATCAATAACTAAATGATAACAGCCTAGGCAGGTGCAACATGGTGTGTGTGTGTGTGTGTGTGTGTGTGTGTGTGTGTGTGTACATGCATGCACATTTTCTCACATGGCTGAAAAATAGTGGAAGTATTTTAAATTCACTTTATATAGATTATATATATGGTTTCTGCTATAATGAGTAATGTATTGGAAAGGTAAAAAAACAAAAACCCTTGTTCAACTTCAAAAACATTTTGTGTTTTTGCCTCTTGGTGTCTGCACATTTTACTTATACCTTAACAATTATCACACGTCTCACCCAAAATATCTGCTATATGGAGTTTGATGGATTTTGGTGTGTCATATGGCTGTACTTCTATATCATCTTTGTGTACCATAAATACCCTGTCTACTGAGACGCCTTCTTGCTCAGCCATTTTCTTAAAGATCTCTTCAAATGTGTCATTCTGAAATCAAATACCAAAAACAGTGCACCTGCATTGTGCAATTAAAGCAAATTAGAACAACTTATAAACAAATGCAGCATGAGGTATAATAAATGTTGTTTTATTAAAATCATTAAAATAATTTTTACGTCAGTTCAAAGGTATAGGGGTGAAATACTCCAGGAAACAGACTTTTATATTGTTCCCAAGAGCTTCCTAAGGTGTTAAGAGTGTCACCCACCACAATGACTTCACAGCCCTCACAATAAATAATAATGCACTGATTCAAATTTATGGCATTACTTTTATTTTTCTACTCACTGGCTTCAGGGGAAACCGCTGCACTCCTGCTGTACTCCTAACCTTCACCATCATGGTCCTGTTTTCAGAGGGACTCTCCATCACCAAGTCTACACTCTCATTCAGCGACCTCTCAGCAAGACTTTCATGGAATTCATGTGAGGCTTTCTCCAGGTTCCTTTAAAACATGTTTATATCTTTGAAAAATATGCCATTAGTTGAATCAGGAACAAACAAGATGGCACAGAGTTGATTTACAAATACTAAATCTTTAATTTGTGATGTAGTTGTAAAGGAAGGTTAGTTACATGATATTTGCATTAAAACAATTTACTATTTAATAATAATGACAGTAAAATGACATATTCAGGTTGAACTGAAGATTAACAAACAAGTTCTTCACAAAATTTCTGTGATTTAACAAAGCAGTTAGGGTACAAAAATTATGTGCTAAAACATTACGGATTTTTATCATAATTTCTAATCAGTAACAAAGCATTAGCAGTGTTGATTTTTGAAAAATCTATATCCTCGACCTACCTTAAAGCCGTAGTGACCTCTTTGTTCCTCCTGTTCCTTCCTGGCCTTGCAAGAATGATGGCTGTAGGAGGCGTTGGTGGTGGGGATGGTGAAAGAGTCACAATGTCAAGGTCATCAGTCTGCGCCTCTTCCTCGATCTGTACTCTAGTAAAACAAATATGGATGAGGGTATGGATGGACTACACATCATATATGGCATAAAAAGCCAACTTTCAGACTAGATAAGGTGAAACCTTATTAATCACATCACTAAGTAAATTTGTCCTACCTCATTGATCTGAGACATGCTGAATATGGAATGATATCCTGTCTGATGTGAGCTTCATTTCAATAACTGACAGTATGTGACTAGATAATCAGCAGGCATGTTGTGGCCTAGTTTTGTCTCCCTGGCAACCTTCTGCCTAATATCGCATCACATGCTGTCAGTCATTGAAACGAGGCTCATAATGGGTAGCATATACTGGTGCATACTAGCTAATTGAGACGGGGTTGTGTTTTCATGGCATTTCTATTTTAATGTTAAAACTCAGTGACAATAATAAAAATTGTTCTATTAAATAGTGTTTAGCATGTTTAGCAGTGCCAATAGAGTCTTTTCCACGAAATCGTGAGCATGCGCAGTTCGCGCCATTTTGTGCGGGACTGTTTCTCAGGGGGAAAGAGTAGAAGGGGCCTTCGGTACTTTTGTAGTATACCCCCCCCCTCACCCTGTAACTTTCTGTAACTTTCACTTTTCAAACAGTTTTTTACATTTTATTGTTTATCCATGTCAAAACTGTTGAAATAAAATGCTTTTGTAATTACCGGTGGACTTTATATTAGTGTTAATCACGTTTAATCCAGCCCATTGAAATACAAAGTTAGAATCTTCAATTTACACTCGCAGTCAATAACTTGCCGCATTTTCGTTGGCTAACCATAAGGTAATTTTATGTGAACAAGTAGCTCATAATAATTTCACAGAGGAAATCCAAGTATACAATGTATCAATCTTATGTTCACATAAAATAAGGTAGAGTTAGCCAACGAAAACGCAGCAAGCTGCGGTTACATTGTAAATTTTCACATTGTATTTCAATGTGGTGGATTAAACGTGATTAAAACTAATAAGAAAGACCACAGGTAATTACAAAAACATTTTATTTCAACAGCTTTGACATAGGTGCAAAAGACACTGTAAAAAAAAATGTTTGAAAAATGAAAGTTTCAGGAAGTTACAGGGTGGGGGGGTAAACTACAAAAGTACCGAATGTCCTATCTTTGCTGTCGATGAGGTACGTTTTTAGTTCTTTCATTGAAAAGTCATCAGGTACTTCTGCTAAATTTCTACTCCAACTGCTCCCATGAATATGTTTTCGAAAAAAATCAGGTGTTAACATGTTATGAAACTTTGAAAATTCAGATTGAAATGAGCACTCCTCGATATGGCGTCCGTCGTGTACACTCCACACTTTCCCCCTGAAACTTCAAATCCCGCAAAATCTCGCGTTCTCACGGATAATTTAGCGGAAGTCACGTGACCGTGGAAAAGACTCTATTCTCAACATGTGTTCTCATATAATGTTTCACAACAGCTCAAACACATTTTAACTATACTGAACTGTGATTTTTTATTAGATTTTAAAATGGTAACACATTTATAATAAAACAGCATTACACAGATCCAATTGGTAAAATATTTATAAACATGTACAAGGTTAAAACTGTACCCATCAGTTTCTCCATCATTATCACTATCTAATATCAGTAAAGTTGGAGAAATTGCTTCCTTTTTCCTTCTTTTCTTTGCTGGCAGAAATTCTTCATCTTCATCCTCAACGTCTGAAATTAAAGATATAAAGTTCAAAAAATGATTTTCATATGCATGGCAATTAATGTTAGAATTGACAGCAGGAATTTAGTTTTAAAAGCATAAACCAGCACTGGGTGATCAAGGGCATCAAAGCCAGAGACAAAAATTTGATGCTTGATGAGATCATTCTTTTCTGCTTTGATATTTTAGGCATATTGTAGTGCTCATTAAATAAAAGAAACATCCTTCCTTGGTCTTCTTCACCTTTTTTGGGCCAAAGATATGGCTGCATTTGCCATACTGTTTTGAAAAGGAGGTGGGGTGAGAGTGGGGGGGGGGGGGGGGGGA